TTGATGCTGATTCCAAATATCTCATTATTTTACAGTGCTTCTGGACGAAAATAAATAGTCTTCACGTTAAAAACCGACGGTTTGCCGAAAAACCTGTAACTCGGTTCCACAGCATTTGTGTTAGCTTGTACTAACCATGCACATGTATCATAAGCAAAAGAAAATTTTGTGAAATTTGGAGCTAGTTGGGAGCTTCTGAAATTCCAGACACTCATTATACTGAACACGTCTTCGAAAAACCCGAAGTGTGGAAAGAAAAATTACTTTTTCCGATTGGAAAGGCTCCTGCGAAAAACGCTTTTCACAAATCAATAGGTCAGATGGTCTAGTTTCAGAATATGTATAATTTGTCTATAAACACTATACATACTCCAGAAAAAAAGATTATTCTTTGGTGTTCCCTACATTTTTGACCTAATTTTCATGCTGTTTTCTTCCAACTAAATACAAAAGCTGGAACGAGAATTTTTACGCCATTAAGGCCTTCCTTCCACTCAGTAAAATAAATTTTTGTCCAAAAAATTGATTTTGAGATTTATATGTAGTTGAAAAGTCCAAAATGTCCTCTTAAAAGTGCATATCGCGCATGTCTCAAAACCTATGGTGAACTATTATTGTATTTTTTCCTTCGTTTTCCATTTCGTAAACACGTTTCACGTTTTTCTCAAAATCCTTTTTTACGATTGTGGTGTGTCGTACTTTCAAAATATTTCCGTCATTTTTCGAGCTAGAAATTTCAGACCGGTTTCAAAAAATAGAGAAAAGTTTTTTCTATGCCGTGACGTTGTAGGATTTTTCAATTTATAAGTTTAGTTTAGGAGGAATTTAAAAAGTTTCCTTAAAGTAAATAAAATCTCTCTAATTTGTCAGAAACTTTTTAAATTCCTCCTAACTACATCTGAATTGGAAAATCTAATGACATCACGACATAGAAAAACACTGCTCTATTTTTTGACACCAATTTAAAATTTCTAGCTCAAAAAATGGCGTTACCTCAAGAGTACACATTATCTGAAATTTTCATCAAGGTTAAATGTTCCTGGCGAAAATAGGTTTCTGAGAGCCTTAAATAAAAAGTCATTGTCTTTGTTTCGTTGCTATTTTCTTGCTTCTGATACTTACTTTACGATTGAAAGCTTGATTGTCTATTAGGCTTTTTTAGCTGTGAGAATCAAACCATGTTTTCAAAAAGAAAAGTATATATCATGGCATTTGAAACAGTGGAAAAATCTTGACATAACGATAAATATGAATGAATAGTACATTTCACTGTACTATCTTGATTCTTGAGATTCTTTCCTCAAATGCTAGACTCCAATTTATGCTGGGTGTGCGAATGAAAGACGTACAATAGTCGATTTAAGAAAAAAGCAGAAAATGCAATACATTTAATAAAGTATGATTGAATGTCTGCGCATTCATTATAAAGACCCACGGTCATGTACACGCAGAATGTGCATTTAAAGCGATTAGAGGATGAAAACGAAAGTGAAAGTAACAACGGTTGTTCCAAATAGAGATGTGCAACCCGATCCGTACCCAACCAGACCCGAAGGTTTTCGTTCTAAAATACGTGGCAGCTTTGGCTGCAAAAGTAGACTTCTAGAATTGGCAAATACTGAACACTGCGGAATTAATCACAAAAAAATTGCTTGCTGTTGGCCTGATTGCTGTATTGAAGATCGGTATCATTTTTAAAATATTTCAAATAATATTCGTAAATATCTATTGAATTTAAATCTCCAACTAGCGTAAAATTCCTTATAATATCTTTTCCTGCAATACCACATTGAATTAATGATTTGAACGTATTCAAAGATTCTATATTGGTATAATTACCAATAATACCAATACCTTTTAGAAAACAAAAGAACATGATTTAAAATCTCGAAAGGCTAACTTGAGAGGCAATTGAACACTTTAGCAATAAAACCAGACACATTAGAGTTCATATAAGATTTCGATTATTTCTAACAAAACTATGACACGATCACGCTCAAATTGATAAAAACTAAGATCCGTTGCTCTAAGATGACTCATCACAATTCTCGTATGTATGTCTTGTTCAAGAAAGAATAGAACATTTTTGGTATTTTTTCTTTGTCAAGAATAGCTTACTCTAAAATCGATCAAGTTATTAATCTGTTAACAGAGACATCAATTTTACGTGGTTTTCGGAGATCTATGAAACATAGAATTAGTAAATTTACTGCTCACCTGACGAGGGGACCTTTTCAACTATTACCTTGTTCTTTGACTGAAACCAAGTGAGTCATAGGTTATCGACTATGCTGATTCTGAATATCACCATGTCAGCTGCCCTTAGGTTTTCAGAGAACGGTTTTCTGGAAAATCAGTTGTTCAGAAACTCTAGAAATAACCAGATCTTTTTCTTAATGAGTCACAATTGTAGCCCGCAAATTTCTGATTAAAATGAGACATCAACCAGCTCTACACGAGCTTTCTTTACAAAGTTATAGACTTTACAAGAAAAGTCCTAAATTAGTTTAGATAGTTTTTATAGATAGTTTTTACTTGGGCTAGATAATTCATCAATGTATGAGTGAATATGCCGCAAAGATTTATCACACAAAGACAATCCTTTGCACAGACAACAGACAGAACCGAACAAATTTCACTTCTGCATTAAAATACTGCAAAAGTAAACTGCAAAAGTAAACGTTCTGTCATATATCATGTACAACAATTGAAGTTGTGCAATATTTTGTAGTATAAAACATAGTGAAAACAAAAATGTTCAGTAAACGCTAAGGTGCTGCAGAGCATGAAACAATAATTAAGAAAAAAAACTATAGAATAAAAGGTGTAGATAATAAAAGCTTATAATGAAAATCATATTTCATATGATTGCAATCCCTTGTTCGAGGGGTATTTCGAATACTGGAAAATGCCTTTCGATGGATATTCGCCAAAGGCTCGATCTTATGTAGAAAGTGCAAAAATTTTTCTGCGCAATCACGCAAATAAAATGCAAAACATAAGTGGTCTAACGCAAAATATGGTTACAAAAGCGTATATTTTTCTAGAACAAAATATCTACAAAATTCTGTATTAGTCGAACTAACACAGAATTTTGTAAATATTTTGTTCTACTTTATCGATTTCTAGCCCTCGGATTTCAGATAAATAGTAAACCGTCGGACAGAGATACTCGGGACCCAACGAGACGAAAAGACTTCCGAGTCCTCGTCCCGTGAGGATGCGACGAGGGCTCGGAAGACTCGAGCATCTCTGTTTGATGGCTAGGAATTTTTCTCGAGGGCTCGGTATCTATGTAAAATCCGATTGCTCAAAATCGATAGCCGCTATTGCTTATAGTACGATCATGATGTTATTTCTAGCGCTCCATTAGCTAACTGAATAGCTAACGCTGTATGCATGTATAGTATTATTTTAAGAATATTTTAAACTTTGTTACTGCAGGAATTGATGTTCAGATGCCAAGTATTTTGTGGATTGATAAAATATTAGATTATTATAAAAAAATTAGAAATCCGTATAAAGCCAAAATATGTCACAATTTCAATAAGTCCACAGTGTGGACTTATTGAAATTGTGACATATTTTGGTATGGACTCCGCAACGAGAGTAATAGTAAGTATATGTGCTTCGAATTTTTCAACTATCAAGGCACAACTGTCTCTACTCGCACAATATACCTAATTTCATCTGTTTTAGCTTGACATTCTGTCTACTTTTCTTCTCTTCGCTGTCTGGTGCGCATGATAGTTTCTTACAAAATATTATAAAAACATCGCAGTTTTACAAGACTTTGTCTGTACAGAAACATACTTGGACTATACTGCCCAGTCAGTCACCTATACCTTTTGAAAATTCGTTTTAACGCGATATTAGCTTAAAACATCCCTCTTTACGAAAAATTCGTTTGAAAAAAAGCGTGAGAATCGCGTTTGAGCCAATCTCGCGTTGCATTGATGGTATAGTCGCGCTAAGTGAAACTGGTATAGAAAAAACCCAAAGTCCCCACAGTATATCTGATATAGTTAAAGGCTAAGTTTTCCTATGCAACTTGTTGCGAGGGCTCCAGTGGCAGTCTCAGGAATTCTCGAAAATGTTCTTAAACCGAAATAAGTACCTATTTTTGACTGAGAATATATATGACTTGCAAGAGTTGCGGAACGCATCTCAAGAAAACGACAGTACCGGATGTAACTTCACTCAAACGCGAGAATCAATGTATCGTACTGTCTTCGAAAACGAAAATCGCAATTCCTACAAGAACATAACGAATTTATTGCGTTTTAGTACTCGGTGAGGATGAAAACGAAATCTTCTTTTTTATAAACGCGCGAAATTAAAGTTATTCAAATTCGAAACGCAACTTTCTAGAAGTGTAGAACACAAAACGCGACACACAGTGAAAATTTGCGTTCAACACGCGTTAAACTTGTTTCAATTGAGTATTTAAACACGAAAACCTCGATGCCGTTCGCGAGTCTTCAAGTCTATTGCGATTAAAAACGCGTTTTTAAAAAGTTATGATGGTTATAAACGCGTTTGTTGAGAAATATTGATGGCAAAAACGCGGTTTGGGTAAGGCGTATATTTAAAGCTCAAGAAATTCGTTGTATTCATGGTGAAACTATATATTCTGGCACTCTATGGATGGTAAAACTGCGTTAAAACGAATTTTCAAAAGATATAGATGAATGACTGAGTGGCCTTCCAGTGAAATGTTTGTTTGGTTCATATATAGAAAATGGTTTGTGTCAGCAAAAGCAGACTTTCGCACTTTGTTTCCCCGGCAATATATTCTGACGATAAGAGCTTCCAAATATATGAGTTCCGAAAGCTATCTCTGGACCTTAGATTTCATATATTGACTCTGCTGCTAAAGTTTGTATTTTATGTTGGGGGTATAACAAATACCGTTAGCAAAACAGGAAAAAAGCAGAAAGGTAGCCGTATAAGACGATAGTAGTCAATCAGTTAAGATAAAAGCAAAATCTGCGTATCAGTCAGTTTAATAAAAACATTTTAACACAATCATTTCCGCTATCAGCAACATACAGTAACAATCCTGTCTCATTCAAGGCTAAAGCTCTTGGCTGGTTTAAGTCAACTGCAGTAGTGCCGGCTATACCACCTTGACTACCTGCTACTGTGATGCCAAAAAAAGTATTAGGTGACCATTTTTGTATTCGACTGTTTGATGTGTCAGCAATGTACAAATTGCCTTGTTTATCAATGATAACGGCACTCGGATTGGCCAACTGATTTGCATTAGAACCCGGCTGACCTGTTACGCCAGCTACTGTTGTACCAATAGTTAGATCATTCCCATTTACAAATTTTTGTATACGATGATTAAGAGTATCAGCAATATAAATTGAATTTCCGTCATTTTCGTTGACATAAAGACCTCGAGACTGGTTTATCTGAGCGTTAACTACCTGCTGAATATCTGATGTTGTTGAAACAGACGGCGAATATTTCATTATTCGATTGTAGGTCTGATCTACTACATAGATGCTCCCATTTCGATCAACATATAAACCATAGCAGTAACCAAGACCTCCACTAGCGACGGTAGTACCAGTGCCATTTCCGCTGTTCACGCCAGGAAAATATTGGACACGAAAATTTAGTACATCTGTTACATACATATTCTGCAGATTGTCAACCCACAGGCCAACTGGAAATCTAAATTGACTGGAATTAGATCCACCACCTTGGCGATCATTCATTAAAGACCAAACGTGCTCCATACCCCTTTTTTTGAGCAGAAGCCCCTCAACCGGGATATGATTAAAAGTCATGGCTATTGACATCCATGAAATGTCAATCCGGAGCTGTTGCAACCATCAATGCTGTCGTGTAGAAGCTAGTGCCGCCGTCTGGAGTGGCAACCAGCCGCTATTGATATCACAGGTGTTACTGAAGAACTAGCGGTACTATCAAAGGCTTTATTGACCAATACGACCTCGTTGGCGTCAATCTAAAGCGTTTGATAGACGACGCCACAACCGATGCATTTTATTTCCTTTTTGGAGAGGGCGCTACAGTCAGTATCATCCAGTGGTGTCTACTAAATACTTTCACCTTTTTACAAGAAAATTCTGGCATTATTGCATCATCGGAATTTGTTTATGGATGCGGGACAGTAGGAGTTTCTTTCTGTTTTTCATTTTCTTTGATAAATCAAAAAAGAACCTCAGGGCCAGCTAGACTGACATTTTATGATGCAGTTTTTCAGACTGATTCGGATAGTGCAATAGTGTTCGCATTTTCTTGTAAAAAGGTAAAATACTGAGCATTTTTCTTAATGATATCCTGACCGGGATATAAAACATAATTGCCTACTGTCTCCCGCAGCTCTCATCAGACGCCCAATTATGGAAAAAAAGTTCTATCTTTTCTAAAAACCTTAGGCTTCTTTACTAATTCAGAGACATCTCTTGATGTTTTATGTAGCACATGTCATTTCAGTAACAAAGCGCGCTCATTTATAACTGCTGATACGATCTAGATTGTAATACAGCGTTGAATTTATTTTTGAACAAAAAATAGTAGTCTCTCAATTTTCGTCATATAAGATAGTTGCAAGGCACCACTTCATTCAACTATGAAAAGAGTTAATGGTAACCTCATTTTTGTTTTATAAACTCCTTCAACAATCGCCACCATCTGTTAGAATGTGCGTATAGGTCAACCGTTAGAGGTTCTCCTAGATATTTTGGCTGTGTGTGGGGGTGATTGAGTCGTATTTCTAAGACGGCTGTGAGTCTACTTTACTCTGATAGGATAGACTGGATTTTTCTTGCATATAGTAGAGACCAGCAACTAAGGAACATCGAACATAATAAAGAAATTTTATTTTCGGGATCCACGGTCAACTTTTTTAAAAATTTTCTCGAATTTGAATATAGAACCTTTAAATATGCGTATACCATAAATAATGTTTTGGAACTAAGTTTTGCGTTGATTATAGTGTTTTTTATATGGCATCAAGGTCAACAAGAATTTTTTCAGAATAGGAGTTTTAGACTTCGGATTCGAAGTTCACTAAACGTACTTTTAAAATCGATCCACCGTGTTAAAGTTACAAAATCTTCTAATAAATTCGTTCTATGGCATGATATGCTCCCATTCACTCACTCGTAAGGACGTGTTTACTGGATGATCCTATGGCCACCAGCTACAGTTGTACTTTGCGATAAATTTCCAAGTTGATATCTCTGTATTCGATGATTGTCTGTATCGGCTATGTAGAAGTACGGACTGTTGGGTGGAACAAAGACACCTTGAGGATTATTAAGTTGACTATTTGAATTTCCTGCTGAGCCAGTTATACCAGCTACAGGTATTGCACTAAAATTTCCTGAAAAAAGGAAAATACAGTAAATAGAAACCCTTGCGAGGGAACAGGGTTTTCAGTCAGGTTTTCAGCAAAACTCAGTGTCAGTCAGTCAGGTTTTCAGCAAAACTCAGTGATTTAGAAAATTTATGTGCGTATAAACGATTATCATGTTTGAAGTCAGTACCAGCAATTACATAAATTCAGCTATATTTCGAGCAAAAAGTCAGGAAAAATAAAAGCCAACTTCCTGGTCTGCAAATAATCTAGGAAGCCGGTATCCTGAATGTTTGCGTCTCATGGAATAGAGCAAAATTCTCTAATTTTTCTCATATTTCGGAGCGAAAGAGTAGAATTAAACGTTTAATATAAGAGTTGACAGCTCTGCTGTGATAGATGAAATTTAGCACCAACGCTCCTCCCTTTTTAGAATCAATGGACTCTGTGCTTCCACTAGAAGAAATTTCGCAAATAAAAAAGAGTTAGGATGCATTTGCGAAACCACAGCAAATCCAGGCATACCTGTTCTACACCAGTTATAATCTGAACAAGTTAAGTTCAGGTCTTCTCTGCACCATTGAGAACTATTACAAAATGCTCCAAGGTACATTTGATTAATACATGCTTGCCCATTCCAGAACGTTGACGTGGATGGACATTGACAGACAGACGCACTGACATTACATGTCAGATACCGATCGTATAAACACTGATTACAAGGCTGATTGAATTTCGTGAAGAGAGGTTCAGGTGGATCGAAGTAATTAATCGCACCAACTATTGATGTTGGCGATGAGGAAGCAATAACTTCACCCGTCGATACTTCACCTTGAAATATTCGGCAACGTAATGACGTTTGATCGTAGTCAAACGTACGGCAGTCAGGATTTAAGTTACATGAGCTTGCACAAACAGTAAAGGAAGAAATTGATGCAGCTAAAATTAGTTCGACGACGTTTGATATCGTCTGTTTAGGTCGTCCGTGTTTGAAAACCTCTCGATCTCAACCTTCACGGTTTCAATAGTTTTCGTGCGCCAAACGGCTATTGAATCTTTTCTTGCTCGATAAACGTCTTATATATATTCTTCTGGAATTAGAAACTAGTTTAAGACACAACTTTTGATTCGGAAGCAGTTTCTGACCCGTAGAAGCAGTTGAATAACCATGTACAGATTCCGTTTAAGTGAAACCAAATACTACTGAAAACTCCGTACAAATTTTGCAAAACCGAATTAGAATGACTATAGTCTTACATGAAGTGTCTTCTTCAATACATAACTTGTTCTAGCAGTAACTAAGAAAACTTTGGCTTAAGTGGCATATCAGATTTGTGTATTTATGCCGTTTTCCCTTTGTTTGCTTAAGCCCTTTTCTCACGCACAAGACTCCTCGAATTCTGGACAGACTCGCGCTCGCTCAAACGTCCTTAACGTATGGTCGCTTTGCTGGTTGAAATTCTGTTGCGCCGTTGAACAGGTGAACATGGGCTTGATACGCTTGAGAATTAGTGCGACGATAAACCGAAAGCAGAATTATAAGACTCACAAGGGACACCATTCTCCTTTATGAGCAGTCAGACTTTTCCTTTATTTTTATATATTTTGTAAAGAGTAAATTTTGCACATCTTTTAAAAGTAATTACGTTTTTCTAATTCTGCTTTGTCACTAGTTTTATTATATGTAAACGTCGTTCTTCATATACACACTTAAAATAAAATTACATGTACTCTTGACAAAATATATATCTTAAAAAATGTAGAAAAAGTCCGACTGCGCGTAAAGAAGAATGTTGTTAGGATGTAAGGGAGAGTTTGTGTTATAAACATTCATGAAATTACAAAATATCATGATGGATCACTGCACCTATTCGAAGGACCTTTCATGTACCGCAATACTTTCTGTCGCTCGATAATAAAAAAAAAACAAATTTTGTCATCAGCCGACTTGGACGATAATTTCGTTTCATGGATGTTCTTAACATTCTCACTTACATTGTAACTATATTCCACTGCACGCGCAGTAAAAGAGAATGTAAGCGAACTTTCCTGTATTGCTGAAGATATATTTTGTCAAAGAGTACATGTAATTTTATTCTAAGTGTGTTTATTATTACCCATGGAATAATTTTGATACTCTAACGCAGGTTTGCAGGAGTTAAAAAAATTTTTCGAGACAATTGCATTTGAATGGGATTAATTTTCAAAAAAAAGCGTATGCCCACGTTTCTTCGGAGCGGTAACGAGTCAGATTCGGTTAAACATCGTTCTAAGAAATTTAACGGGTTTCCACGCGTTCACGTTTTTCAAAAACTGATAATATACGGCGTAAACGCGTTTGAAAATAAAGAATGCACATACATTCCTGAATAAAAGTTTATCTTAACTCCTTTAAACGGGTTAGAATATATTTTAACTCGTTAAAACTCGTTGAACGATGACTCACCAAAGGCGTTAGAACGGTAATTTTCCAATCACCGTTTGGTTTTCCATGATCAACTCATATATAAATACCATGTCTTTCCCTACCAGACATACAATACATTCCATTAAAAATTTTTGTAAGTTTTCCTCTTAGGGCAGCCGTCAAAATTATGATCGTAACAAACGGAGTAAACGTAACAATCGTAGAATGTAAATAGCTTCTCTTTGATGTTTGCATAAGAGAGAAAATATATAAAAGCTATGTTTTCTTCTACACTTTTTTTTCATTAACTCTTATATAGAACACATCAAAATACCTATTAACTGTGCTAATTAATTATAGGTAATATGTATATTCTATATTTATATGCTTTATTATTGCCCTTTGTGGGCCTATTAAGGCAAAACACAACAAGGACCATGAAAATTTCTGTAAATTAATTAATACATTTTAAAAATAGAATACACAACATAAAAAGAAAAAGAATCCTTATAGAAAAGAAACACGCTACAAACATCTGACAATTGCACTATAAAAAAGATTCAGGGCAAAATTCAGGTAGTTCAAAATCATCCTCATCTAAGTCAGGTAGCGAACATTCGATACTGTTTTCTAGCTACTGAACACATCTGACAAATATAGACTCATGTGCCACAAATCGTTTAGAACGAAAAATTTTTGTAATGCTATAATTATTATTGAGCCATTGTTCTCTAATAGCCTTTACAATATATAACTGTTACTGTTGGAGCTTCAGCTTCCACTTGAGAAAACTGCAGTGTAGAGACTTGCACCATTAAAGAACACCTAACCCGACCCGACTGCCAAAATGCCGACCCACACCCGACCCGATGAAAACAATCTCATCAGAAAACTGTGTTTGAGAAAGAACATAGACTTGCCTTGTTAGACAAAAGTTTTTCGGTGCATATTGTAGAATCTCGTAGTTCAAAAAAAAATTTTTGAACGACGTCTGATTGATCATTTTGTCTAAAAGTTTAATCTATTGAAAATTCCTCAGTACACTTTGTCAATAGATTATCTTAACCGAG